AACTGTTATATCACATCTACAAACAAATATTAAAGTCCCAGTCTAGGCATATTTTATTCCATTAATAAATGTTTTCATTTTCATAGATAGTATTATTGAAAAAATATTTTAAGATGCCTAGTAATATTTTTAAAAACTAAAGTATAATGGATTTATAAGTTAAGATCTTCTAAACTGAATTGAAAAACTATTGTATTTTTTCTTTTTTATTTATTTATTTTTATATTAATAACAGTTTATTCATTTTGTATCCCAGCTGTATCCTCCTCCCTCATCCCATCCTCCCTCTCTCATCTCTTCCCATGCCCCTCTCCAAGTCCATTGATAGGAGAGGTCCTCCTCAACCATCTGACCCTAGCTTATCAGGTCTCATCAAGACTGGTGCATTATCCTCCTCTGTGACATGGCAAGGCTGCTCCCCCCTCAAGAGGAGGTGGTCAAAGACCCAGTCACTGAGTTCATGTCAGTCAGAGACAGTCCCTGTTCCCATTACTAGGGAACTCATTTGTATAGTGAGCTGCCATGAGCTACATCTGAGCAGGGGGTCTAGGTAATATCCATGAATGGTCTTTGGTTGGAGTATCAGTGTCATAAAAGACCCCTGTGCCCAGATATTCTGGTTCTGTTGCTCTCCTTGTGGAGCTCCTGTCCCCTCCAGGTCTTTCTATCTTCCCCTTCTTTCATAAGATTCTCTGCACTCTGCCCAAAGTTTGGTTATGAGTCTCAGCATCTACTTAGATACACTGCTAGATAGAGTCTTTCAGAAGTCCTCTGTGGTATGCTCCTGTCCTGTTTCCTGTTTTCTCCTTCCAGTGTCCATCTTGTTTGTCTTTCTGAGTGAGGATTGATCATCTTACCCAGGGTCCTCCTTCTTCCTTGGTTTCTTTAGGTGTATAGATTTTAGTATATTTATCCTCTATTATATGTCTAGTATCCACTTTTAAGTGAGTATATACTGTGTGTGTCTTTCTGCTGCTGCGATACCTCACTTGGGATGATCTTTTCTAGATCCCACCATTAACCTGCAATACTCAACGTCCTTAGTCATCAGGGAGATGCAAATCAAAATGACCCTGAGATTTCACCTTACACCCTTTAGAATGGCTATGATCAAAAACTCAAGTGACAACACATGCTGGAGAGGTTGTGGAGAAAGGGGAACCCTCCTCCATTGCTGGTGGGAATGTAAACTTGTACAACCACTTTGGAAATCAATCTGATACTTTCTCAGACAATTAGGAATAGCGCTTCCTCAAGACCCAGCTATACCACTCCTAGGCATATATCCAAAAGATGCTCAACCATATTATAAGAACATTTGCTTTACTATGTTCATAGCAGGCTTATTCATAATAGCTAGAACCTGAAAACAGCCCAGATGTCCCCCAACGGAGGAATGGATACAGAAATTGTGGTACATTTACACAATGGAATACTACTCGGCAATTAAAAACAAGGAAATCGTGAAAAACTATTGTATATAAAAATATAAATTAAATATTTTGAGGGATTCTGTTGACACTGATCCAATTAAACTCAGAAAAAGTAAACTCAAAACCACACATTGCTATACCTCTCTTACTGTTCATGTAGAATCTGGGGGGGGGGGCTTTCTTCTGTTTTATTTAACCCTAACGTTATCCTGCCAAATTAAATAGAGGAAGTTAGCACAGATGCTCTGTAGAACATTCCCATTCTTAGGTCCTCTGTGACTGTCTCCCTCCCATCCCTCCCTACTCTGCTGAACAGTATCTTACAGATGCGTATTGAATAGCCCTGAAAGTCCACTTGGTTACTAACTCTCTATGGAACAGCACAGGTATCCCAGCCTAAATTAACACCACTGCTTTTATGATTTTAACCACGGTATACTCGTAATAAATGTTCCCCTGATAGCCTTCTTTGCTGATTAAAAACCCACCTTCCCTGGCTTTCCTGAGGGTTAGCAAAGTGATGCAAAGCATGACTCTCACTGGGTGAGTCAGAGACCTTCTCTTTGGTCCACAGCTCCTGACATGTGTTTGTGCCTCGTGGACTCACGCCCTCTGCTGGGGAGGACTTCAGGAGCAGTACACTTACTGCAGTGACTGATCAGTCAGCTTCGCTAGAAACCTCCTGTCTTTGTCCTATAAAGTGAATGTTTGATGAGATAGTCCTCAAGTGTCTTGGCAGGACCGAATATGTTTATAATATGACACAGTTCTAACCAAATCTTACAAGGTCAGGGAGATGGCTCAGCCAGTAAAATCCTTGCCAAATAAGCCTGAGAACCTCCTGAGTTCCTGACTTCTGCGTCCACCCTGTCATGGGCAGCCACCTTTGGTGAGACAGAGACTAGGAAATCCCTGGAGCTCACTGGCCAGCCAGGCTCCTTTAGTCAGTCAACTCCAAGTTAAGTGACAGAATCTATGAAAGAAAGAAAGGAAGAGAGAGAGAAAGGTGGAGAGCAATTGATAGACACACTTGACAGCAACCTTTGGCTTGCACATATGCACATACGCACAGACATGTACACATACCTCACCTCCCATTACATACACACACAGACAATTTTAAGTTGGAATACAGTTTGGGGAGTGACCGAGCTACGCTAGGACTTTCCCTTTTTTTCTGCTTGAGAGTTTGATTCGTGTGTTGCTCCATCATAGATGCATAAGTGATCAGTCATTCACACACACCCCTCCCTGGCTTGGCTTACTTGGGACACTGGGATATAACCCTGAGTATTAATAACGCTAAGAAAGAAAAATTAGTGGGCCATAAAAAGTCTCTCTCTCTCTCTCTCTCTCTCTCTCTCTCTGTGTATGTGTGTGTGTGGTGTGTGTGTGTGTGTGTGTGTGTGTGTGTGTGTGTGTGTGTGTGTGGTTGCTTGTGCACTGAGACATGCTGAAAATTAACCCCAGGGCATTGTTCGTGTAGGCCAGTACTGGACCATTGAGCTACATATCCAGGCCAGGATGAAGATTCAAACGGTGGCATGCTGGTAACAAGTTAATCTGAATTCCTTTGTGCATTCAGTCATTGGTTTCAACCACATATCCTACGGCCTAGCCCAAGCAGACACTCTCTATAAGAGCTGCATTTGATGCTCATTTGCTCATTGACCATTCACTAGAGAAGTGTTTTTTCCGGGGAAAGTCTATCTGTGTTTCAGAGACTATCACATTGAAAGCTGTGTGTATAACTGTTTTGTGTCCTACAGATTTAAAAACCTTTCTTGAACTCAATGCATTTCATTCCTTCTATGTTCATTTATCTCACTTAGCACAGGGGTTCTGTTGTTCTGGGCTGTGCTGCTGGAGGTGGGACACAGGGCTTAATGTGTTTCAGTCAAACATTCTACCATTGATCTATGCTTCTAGCTCCAGCAAATGATGTGGATATTATATGCATACATATGTATGGTGTTTGGAAATTTATGTAGAACATGCTTTGATCATATTCACCCTCTCCCCATCCAACTTTTCCCGGATCTACCCCTTTCTTTCTCACTTAACTTTATATCTCCCTGAATCAAGGACAATATGTTCTGCCCAAATATTCTTGGGTAAATATGGCTTTCCACTGACGCATGGTAAATTTATCAGGGGCTACATTCTTAAAAAGGGACCCTCCCTCTCCCAACAGTTAACAGTTAACAATTATGGCACCTCAACTAGAAGTGAGACTTTGTCCCTTCCCCACTCCATTCTGGGATTTGGTCTGTCTTGATTTGCACAAATATTGTACATGCTGTCACAACAGCTGTGAATTCATATTGCAGCTACATGGGTGTGTCCAGGAGACATTTTCTTGTAGCCATTTCCTACTGCTGGCTCCTAACAAACTTTCCACCTCTCCCCTCTACACTGATCCTTGAGTCTTTGGAGGAGGGAGTCCAGTACATATGTTCCATTTAGAGTTGGAAATTCTGAACTTTCTAATTCTCTGGCCCTTGACCAGTGGTTCATCTTAGTGCCATTGACTATTTCAAATAGAAAGTGCCTCAGATGAAGGATGGGAGATGCATTAATATAAGTCTTTACGAGTTGAGCTCATCTGTATTCATTTAGCAGCATGATAATAGTAAATTCTGTCTTTGGGTCTATGACCTGTTTGTCATAGGTAATTGACCCAATTAATTTTCAGTTGACCATAAAGGACAAACAAGGCAATATTTTTGGTAGCATAAAGGATGCCACCCACGGTTCTAAGGTCTCTGGTAAACTTTCAGATAAAAGTTAAGTACTGAAGAATGAATGTCAGTTGTCTTAGCAAAGGGGAGGTGGGTAATCAAGAAAGAAACTCAAGAAGCAATGGCCAGAGAGAGGGACGGCAGTTCATTGTGAGCTGATTGTAAAGTGCCCGGTTGATGGTCTAGTTTGAATCCTGGGCTGAGAAGATGGGTGCTTGCAGTTGAGAGATGATCAAGACCTTAAGTCAAGCCAAGAAGTTTGTATTTTATTCTAAAGGCAAAATGAGTGTGCATATTCACAGCAAAGGATGGAGATTGAACAATTGAATAATTAATTGACTAAATTAATTAAATTATTAATAAAATAATTGAATAATTAATTCAAATTAATGATTGAGTAAATATAGTGTGAGAAGGGAGAGAAGCTCAGGGACAGGTGGATTGTGACATTAGACCGTGGCAGCTGTTCAGCCAAACTCAGATATTTACTGAATTACTGTGAGTTTTTTCTTTTCTGAACAGAATTCGGTGCTCAAAGTTACTTTTGCAGAATGGCTTCCATCTTTTTGGTTTTTTTTACAAAGACTTATGCTTTTGTCAAAAACCCTGGGAAATAAGAACATGAAGCCAATGTGATGTTTACAGTTGTGGGGTTTTGTTTGTTTGCAGTGCTAGGGCTGTTTGCATGCCTACTCCCATTCCATCTCTAGTTCAGCTACGATCAAGTGTAAAACCTCCCCTTCAATCCCAAGTCAGGCTGACTCCTCTGCTGAGACACCAGATGCCAGTGCTCCCACCAATGTAATTCTTTTTCCTCCATTCACAGTTTCGATGTGGACAATGGCACATCATCGGGACGGAGTCCCTTGGATCCCATGACCAGCCCAGGGTCTGGGCTAATCCTCCAAGCAAATTTTGTCCACAGTCAACGCCGGGAGTCCTTCCTGTATCGATCTGACAGCGATTATGACCTCTCTCCGAAGTCTATGTCCAGGAACTCCTCGATTGCCAGCGATATGTGAGTATAAGGATGGGCAGTAGAGACGGAAGCACTAGAAAATCCTGAGCAAATTCATCTCTGGAGCGGATGATGTCACAAGTGATGATTTCATCCAGCCATTCCAACCTCCCTTGATGCGGAGAGCGAATAAAGTCATCCGAGCTGAAGATGAATAGCAGATTTAGCTTGAGCACACTGTCACCTTGATTGGGGGGGGGGGACATTTTCTCAGAAAAATGTACTGTTTTGGAAAAGTGGACTTAAACATTTAATGGAAAAATTACCCTTAAAACATCAACTTATATTTATGTAAGATTCGTGTTTAAGATACTCAGCAACATGAATGCTTTATAATATTTTTAAAAGCCTTAAACATGTTGAAGATACTTAGGATATTGGGATGGACAGTGTCTTAACTATATCTCAATTGATATGTGTACAGACATGAAACTGGCAAAATCTTTTGGGGATTTTTGTACAGATTGAACCAGGTTTTGACTATAAATCACTAGAGGCAATATACCTGGATTCATTTAAGGCATGGCGCATATTAAAAGTGAATTAAGATTAACAAGTTTCAGATAATATGGGGATTAACCACTCGTTTCCCCCACACATTGTGTTTGTCTGCTTACTGTGCATCTGTGTTCTTTCTGTGTTGAGGGAACCTCTGCACAGACTCCTGTTCTCACGTGCTCTGTGCAGTGTCACATCTGGCAATGGGCACAGCTAGCCTCTTCTCCTCTGGATCCAGACTCTTGTCCTGCTACACACAACATCGTCTCCTAACACCAGCTTAGAACCTACTTACAGTCACTTTATGGAACCCCGGTGGGTCTAATGCTTTTCTTGGTACCCAAAAAGATCACCAAGGCAATATACCTAGCGACAGTCCCAGATGGACTTCTAGAAATAAATATGTGCCTTGCTCAGTTTGTAAACTTAGTTCTAGTGTTACTGGTGATATTGCTCTTTGTAACTCACTTCCCTTTGCCCGTGGGTCTCTTTCTGTGTTATCCTCATCCCTCTTCTGTGGGTTTCAAAAAGTTCATAGGATGTTTAGTTATAAATTCAAACACAATGAGAACATGTCTTGAGCTCCTAATCTGTGGAGATGGAAGGGCTGGTGTTAAACTGTTTGTAAGAAAATATGAGTACCACCTTGAAGTTTTACGAAGTAAAACACAAGCGCAAAACATAGGCCCCACAAAAGCTCTTTGCCCAAAGGAAATGGGAAGAAAGTAATGGGTTTAAGTAATAGTTCTGCAACATGTGGAGCAGGGAGGCTCTAGTACATGACATTCCTCTGGGTGCGAGAAGCAGACATGGTAAGAGTGGAGGAAGATTCAGGTCAAGTCCATCGGACCTGAGAGCCACCAAAGATCTTAGCTAGGGTTTGGCCTCCATCATGTTTCATCCTTATTGTATTTTGATTATTCACATTCTGTTTTTAAGTGATTGTACAGTGAAGAGATAATAGGGATGGGATTCGTATCAAAGCTCACAGAAACATGTGAATCGGCCACATGTGATGAAGAGCTAGATCAAGGTTATGCAGTGTGGCAAAGAGGTTGGCCCAGATGTGAGAGGCCTACAGAGCTGTGGTGTGTGCTTGTGTGTGTGCTTGTACTCGAGCACATGCATGCATGTGTACATGCCTGATACATGTGTGTGTGAGTATGGGTGTGCTTGTCTGCATTCGTGTGTGTGTTTACTTGTGTGTCTGCAGTGCATGCAGGCAAGTGTGTGTGTGTGTGTGTGTGTGTGTGTGTGTGTGTGTAGCTGGTAGAGAAAGAGAAACAAAAGGACTGACAGGTTTTTTTTAACCCTGACTGAATAAATAAATGGCAGTACTAACATGAGGAATAAGGGACGGAGAGTGGACAATGTAATGCCGAACTAAATAGTTCATTCAGCTTTTGTAGAATGGGGTAGGGAGAACTTGTGAGTGGTTGGCAAGAGGAGGACAAAGAGTAGAAGGAACATTCCAGGGGACTAGAGGAGACTCGAAGAACCAGTTACCTTCTGTAATTACGAGGTGTTTAGATGCCATTTGTGTGAAGCACCTTAGTCAGGAAATGAATGAAGTTCAAAGCCCAGTCGGTTGGGGAGTGAATTGAAAGCAGTTCCCTAAGCCAGTGGATGCATATTTTTATAAAACCGATGATAAAAGGGAGTGAGAAATTAAAGCTGACAAGGGAAGAAGTAGATTCAAGAGAAAAAAAAATTAAAATTAATAAATTAATAATACAAGCTGAGTGAAGGCCCAGAAGGTAGACTCAAAAATGGAGGGGGATTACCAATGAATGTTTAGCTATTGACACAAATGTGATCTTAAGAACAAAAAACAAGTTTCTGGAAAAGTGACAGAGGCTATGGTGGCTTTCTTTAGGGAAGACAAAGGAGAAACAAGCAAAAGAAAAAATATATAATAGAGGAGATGAAGGAGTGAAGGGTTTGGAGAATAAATGGCTAATATGATGTCTACTTTTCTATTCAAATGGAAGGCTTAACCGTTAACACCAATGATAGTGGGATGGGCAGCTTGAGGAATAGCTGAAAGGTGAAAGGTCAAAGCCACTACATGCCCAGGCCTGGTGGCACACACCAGTAATTTCAGATATTCAGAAGTTGAGGCAGGTTGATGGTATATTCAAGGACTGTCTCAGCTATTGCAGGAGTTCAGGACCATTCTGGGCAACACAGTGAGACCCTGGCTAAAAGAAAAATGTACAAATACGGCTGGAGATGTACCCCCAGTGGCAGAATGCCTATGTGAGACTCTAGATGTAAGTGCAGTGAGGAAGACCAGTAAGCTGATCAAGCAAAATAACACAGTAGAGAGATTGATAGAGGTCTACTCAGACCAAGAATCCACATACAGAGTCAATGTCTAGTCCTACTTCATTAAAAGAGAAACAACAAAATAGACAGCGACAGTACCTTTCCCAAGGACACAGAACATCGAAGAAGAGGGGTAGAAAGAATGTAAGAGCCAAAGAAGGGAGAGAGATGTGGGCAAAAAGACATCTTCCAGACATGACATGATAAAGCCATTGTGTGATGGACTCACTGCAGCTGTGGTTGCCTACCTAAGACCTATCCAAGACTGGGCCCGCCAGAATTTCATCATGAATGGGGTAAAGAACCCATGAGGCTCCAACCCTTCCCGAGGGACTATAGGCAATTAACAGGCAAGAAACTCTAATTAAACTCAGTGGCGCCCACACAAAAAGACATGGAAGTATAAGAAAGACTTGCTGAGAGAAGAAAGTAGGAGAGGGATGGGATGGGAATGAAAACAACTAACATTTGTTGTAGAATGAAAGGAACTGTTGATCAATTTAAAAATATCAAAAAGAAAGGTCAGAGAAAAACTTGGGTGAGGAATCGGACCCTCTTTCAATGGTTAAATGTCTGCTCTCTGAAATTCTAGTAAAACAATTCTGGGATGCTAATGCAGATGCTGTGTGTCACGTGCCCTCCATTCAAATCAGGAAAGACTAACTATGCATCTCCCCTTTATGAAAAGCTGGGAGTAGGTCACATCCTGAAAAAAGCCTTTATTCCCAAAGTCCTATACAAGGATGACCTCATTTTACCCCGTACCAATTGAAGAGTCTCTTTATCTCCTCAGAGGGCTCGTGTACTAATGACAAATTGAATCAGACCATGATGCAACTCTGTTTATTGTTGAAAAAATAATGTCTTGACGTAGTCAGCTTTCTGAGTTACTCTGTGTGTTTTCCGGGGAGAAATGAGGCATTCCTTTCACACTTGGTGAGAAACAGGACAAACAAAATAATTATGACTGCATGTTTAATTTAAGACATCATTTATCTTCCACATATAGATGAGTATGCTTCCCCTTTATTTGATGGCTTATGTGGCCATGTGTGAACCTGAGGTTCCTTTAACTAGTTTGTCTGGGTGCATGAAGATTGCTCAATCTTCACAGCTCCACTCCACAGTGCAACTGTGCTTTGTAGAGAATGACCTCATTTATAATCCACTCTGCCTCACTTGATGGTTCTGTATATATTATTCTTATCTGCTTTCCAACAGATAAAATCGCAGTGTCAAAAAGGGTTCGTAACTTCTTAAATTATTATTTTTATTTTTACATTTTTTTTTAGAATTAAAACCACTTTATTTTCCTTAACGCACAAAACACAATGCCGTTAGTTCACAGAGGCCAAGTGCTTGCCCAGCTACCCAAGCTTACAAGCCTCATTGAATCTCTAGAGTTAGAACTCTCTCATGGCTATTCTGAAGCAACGGAACTGTTAGAAATAAAGACCCACACTTCTACTATCAATAACGCAGAGCCAATTTACATTTCTTCAGGCGCTAGTTGGTGGTTTGTCTGCATGTTTGTCTGTGTGAGGGTGTCGGATCCCCTTGAACTGGAGCTATAGACAGTTGTGAGCTGCCATGTGGCACTGGGAATTCAACCCAGGTCCTTTGGAAGAGCATCCAGTGCTCTTAACTGCTGAGCCATCTCTCCAGCCCCAAGAGTTTGTAGCTCTTTGAATGAAATGCTTTAGGGAAAAAAAAAAAAACAAAAAACAAAAAACATTCTCTATAAGTTTGGGTATAATTGTTTAATTAATTAGGGAATGAGAAGAAAGAAAATGAGCACTTTCTGACAAGATGACATTGTCATATCATCCATAAATAAACAGTAATAAGTGGCCGAGTTACCCAACAGTGATGGTCAGAACACATGTTGTATGTAGCTATTACAGTTCTTTTTTTCTGAGGGTTTCTGAACCTGCTGTCTCATTTGATCCTTCAGTCCTTTCAATAGGGATATTAATATTAATAGGGACTAGGAGATCCGAAGTCCAGACATGTTCATCTTTCTAAAATACTATAAAAGTATTGATCATTTGTAATGAACATTATTTTGGTGATACCACTGTGAATAATATTCACGAGGAACCAGACAAAACTCGTGACCAGCTTCAGTACTATTAAGCACTATAACAATTTGGTGAAAAATAAACCATGACAAA